TAACGTAGCCAAACTCCAAGAACAATTGGCGAAGAATGTGACAATATATACGACAGGCACTAACTCTGGTGGTGTCATTAATACAGGATCAGGAACAGGATCAGGATCGGGATCAGGCAAATCTGATCAAACAGCTGACAATAATGATTCTGTAAGTAGATTTAAGATAAACGTTTTGAAAGTTAAGTATCAAAAAGATAACAAAATCACTGTACTGATGTAACATTAAAAATAGACAAATATTTATATCTAAAATCGATATGAATGTTTAAAAATGTTCAATAAGTGTAAGTTTTTTACAAACTTTGTATTTGATTGTTTCCAGGGTTTATACAGAGCAGAAAGCAGACTTCTGTTCTGGTTACTAATATTGCTGGCGATATTGGTAGCCTTAATACTGTTACTTCTTATATGCTGCTGCATATGCGAAGGCTGTCCACTTTATATGCCTCCAAGGTAAATTTCACATTTTATATACTCTATTTTATGTCAGCTTTTCACTCAATTGCTAACTCTTAACACATATTGATCCAGAATCCTTATTTCACAACTAATTTTTGGTTTATTTTTTTTTTCTACTAATATTTCCTTTTTCTTATTAACAGACTGAAATGCACCAACTAATGCAAGTTCTCACAACAGCTTAACACTTTTTAGGTAAATATTTATTTTGATTTATAAAGCACATTTTCCTAATTTATTATCTTTTCCAAGGAGTGGGTTAACACGACTAAATAAACTCACAAATTGGAATTTACATTAAACTACATTTCTAATAGTCAATTATTTATATATACTGCATGATATGTCCATTGGTAAAACAAACATAAACCACTTTTAACATTCACCAGCACAATCTTATTACTACTTAAGTGTTGATAACAGAACAGCTAGGTACATAGATATCCATTAATAAATTCTAGGAAAAGAGTGATACGTGTCAACTCCACAGAGGACGACGTGCATTTAGTGGTGCGCGACAAGGGACTTGGGAGGGAAAACAAGTCGACGCAAAATTTAGAAAATAAGTCCATACAAGCTAATGAGTGGAGGAGGCGCGAGGCATGGAGTGCCGAACAGGCAGACTTGAGGACGAAACCGACTCAGTGGAAATTCAATAAACGCAACCACAGATCCAATAAAGAGCCATCTAAACCAGCTTCAACGCCAGGAGACATCCACCAAGAATTTGTACACACGGCTGCTGACAATGATTACAGATACAACGATAATCGACAATCTTTCCGCAGGTAACTAGAGACACCATTACATTCTTTACGTGCGGTAACGGAACACAACACTTCAGTTAACTCACATTAATAATGACTGTTCTTTGTCCTACCCTTATCTTCTTCTTTATCTTAATCTATTTTAACAATAGTTTAACAAAATAATAATTCATAATTTAAACTAATATTAGCATAGGAATTATTTACTAAAGCAAGAGTTACAAGAGCTTTGTCTTATTCTGCTTGTTCTTATTTCAGAGACGGGCCCAACATTATTTACACGAAAGAGATGCAACTTCAAGAAGCTTTCGCTAATAAACACAAAGAGTACATTGAGGACTTAGAAAACGGTTATGATAGAATTGCCACACTTCATTATCAACGCAGAGAACAAGATAACGATTCCATTCGTAGACACGAAATAGATCGCGGTTCTGAAGTCGGAGTCTTCCTTAAGTCTGATACTGACAAGAACATACACGAAAAGACTGAAAAAACTAAACGTGAATATCCAGAGAAACTTCGCGCCCCATCTTCTCAAGGCAGAGATCAATATTTTATAAAAGAAGGAAATACAGAGATATTAAGATTAGTAACTAGAGGTAAGAATGAGGAAGAACGTTATGTAAATTTACCTGTTCCACAACAACGACCAGTTACGCTTATACCACATACACAATACGTTGTAGTTGATAGTGGAAAAAACCTGCTGATGGAAAGGTTTATAAGAGAACAGGGAGAAGAAGCAAAAAATATTAGAGATCGGATGAGCAAAGTAACTGATTTAGATAACATATCGAACGGAAAAGATGCTAAGAGCTATGGACAAAGATCACAAGTAGGAAGTGATGTTCCGAACCAGTTTAACGAATATACAAACCTTCATCCTGAAGTTCCAGGTACAGTTCCATTGAAAGCAGATTATTTACAATCTGCTTTATTAGAAATGCAGAACAAGTCAACGATTCATCAAGAGTTGCTAGAATCATCATTGAGAAAGCAAAATGAACTTTTGCACCAAATATTAATTGAACGAGAAAGAATGTTACAAAACCACGAAACAGCTTCTCAGGTCGAAAGCAAACTAGAAACCCAGAGCTTACCGGGACATTCCGTAATGGCAACTCAAACAGAATGTCATATTGGCACACAAACTGAACCACAGCTTATGAAGCCAACACGAAGAAAAGCAAGAAGTGATAACGATTCATACAGTGAAGATGAATCGGAAATGGTAGTCGAAGACGAAACAAAAAAAGTAGCGTGGGTAAAAAAGAAAAAACCTAAGAAAAAATTAAAACATAAAGATCCCAGAAGAAGCATGCGAATATATGATTTGAGTAGAAAAATAAAAACGCCAATTCTCGAAGAAAGTGAAGTATCTCCTTCATTAGAAAGTGAAAAACATGTAAAAATAAGTAAAACTAATGAAAGAGAAGAGCACATTAGGAGTTACGGTGATATGACAAAAAGTACAGTTACTACTTCAAAGAACGAAACTGTATCCTCTACGCAGATAAAAATTTCAGACAGTGACCGAAAGTCAAGGCTCAGAAGAGACGTTTTAATGGAGATTTCAGATTCGTTGGACGAAAAAGTGGAATCAGACCTAGGTGAAAGGAGATTAAGATTACAAAAGCAATTTTCTGTGACTACTGATGATATGCCATTAAAAAGCCCTCTTGCCATAGAACATGAAAGTAATGACAGTAAAAGTAGAAGTAGTTCAGCTTCCAAAGACAATCGAAATTTAGTATTTTCCAGACAGGGGTCATCGACGGAAGCCCGGGATATTGCTGAACACTCTTCTACCAAGTCAAAATTATCAGATGTAGAGGCACAATCAATTAAATTGGATAGTGCGAGTAACGTAGACACCAACAGTAAAAGAGTTAATGAAGCTAGTGAATCAACAAAGTCATCAGAAAGTGTTAAACCGACACAAAAAAGTTTGCCACGTTATATGCAGTGGTATGGTAAGAAGTCAACTGCTGCTAAACCTGCACCTGCTGAGAAAGTGGTACCAAGTAAACCAAAACGTCCATCTAAAACAAAAAACGAAGACGATAAAGACAAAGCAAGTCGTTATGGAAAAATTATAAGCAAAGACAATCAAGGCGATTTAGAGGTAAAAAAAAACTTCAAATCAAAAGAAAATGAGTTTATTCATCCACGGATACTGAAAGAAGAAAAGGTGACTCCTGTACCAGAAGGTCCTTTACCGGATGTTCATCCATTACTTCAACATTCCGAACACAGGTATGAACATCAATACGAAAACCAAAATCCACTGTGTTATATTCAGCCTACACATATTCCAAAATATTTAGGGCAACAACCGATGCCACGAAAACACGCACCAGAACAACAACCTATTTATGTAAATCAAGACGATGTTAAGGACCCTAAACAGGATATAATGGAAAGTGCATTAACACACAGTATATCTATATCTACAAGCTATGAAGAAGATCGAAAAAATCCAGAAGTGCACGTGTCTAAAATAAATATAGGTGGCGATAGTGTCCCTGATATAACCCATAGAACAAAAATAGACGATAATGATTCGGGTATTGCTATGAATACGTTGGTGCAACAGAACAACATGAAAAGGTTGCCAATCACAGAAAAGAAAAGTGTGTTCACGATCGCGTACGACGATGTTCAGACCAAACAGTTACGACCAGACAGTAGTTCTACATCTTATTAAAATAATTCACTTTTTTAAACCCGTGTCCGTCGATTGAGTGCCTTAAAATCATTGTAAATTTAGGATATTCTCAAAGTAAAAGAACTAATGCCTTAATACTCAAATAGGATCATTCTGTGAAAAATCTAAAATAGGCAACATAATACTTAATTGTATATTATATATGTAGTGTTTCAGTATTCAGGCGTTAGCCATTAATCCGTCCAATGTTAAAAGTATTAAATTATTTGATAAAGGAGTAAAGTATTTTAAGCTGAAGTTTCGAACGTTTTAGCTAACATCCAGATACTTAGAATAAATTAGATTGAGCTAGTTTCGTAAAGGGTTTTAGCTAAAATGTTAACAAAAATGAAGAATTTGTATAGTAAGTTAAACTTGATACAACTGCCTTTGTTTATTGACTGGTTTATGAAATAATTTTAGAATATTTTCCTATAATAATGTACATAGGTCACATGTTGAAAAATAATTATAATGATATTTAAATTAATTGTAGCTTTAATAATGTCTCTTTGTAAATATTATTTCTGTAATACCTTACAATGCATTCTGATACAGTGTGCAATTCTATATTTGTTATAAAATATAAAGTTATATATTACATATTAAACCATGAGTATCATTTGTGCATTTGTCTTTATTTTCCTATTTCATTTTTTTTGTTTTGTTAAGAAATGTTTCTTTCTAAAACGGTGTCTTAGAGAAGTTGTTTTTTATTTGGGTATTGTGACATGACTAATTGTATTGTCTTAGAAAACATACATATGCAGACTTTCTAAAAAAATCAAGAATAAAACGAAACAACCAATGTTAATGTAATTGTATTCATTTAATCAAAGTTCAAATCACAAGCACAAAAGTATTTAGAATCAAAAGCAAATAATTAATTGTACACTATTATTTATGCAAAATTATAAAAGTACAATTAAAGAATTAAAATCCGACACCATATAATACTACCCTAATAATAAAACCCAAAACCCCATGAAATACCATAGAGTTACTTTTAAACTGGCATGAAGTGTGGCAGGCTATGGCGTGGCTGCAGAAGATTATATCCATCAATTACGTACTTTGGATATTTCCAAACTATTGTTTTGTTGCGGCTGTGGTTCCTCCGCTTCAATATACTCTCCATCGATGATACGTTTCATAAACTGAACTTGTTTCTCTATAGCATCCAGGCGCTGCGTGAGCACCCCGACTTGTTTTTCACAAACACCATTACTTATTTGCAAAGGAGGTGGTCTAGCTATCGCCATCACCAAATCTGCCATTTCACTCAGCCTATCCATGTTACGAGAAGTTTCCAAACTTAATATCTGACGCACTTTTTCTGGTAAGTTATTTTGCCATATATTCAAAACAACTTCGTTGGAAATACGTCGACCAGCAACTTTTATAAGTTTTCGTAGATACTCTGATGGTTTTTCATTCCCAAAAGGCAGGCTCTTCAATTGTTGCAATGTCAGTCGCTTGATAAATTCGTACTTGAAATTCTCGTATTGGTCCGCTGTCGGCGGACTTAATAAAATATCTTCCACCAAAGTTAAGGCCGCTGTAGGTATATGAGTTATAATGTATCCATATTTGTCTGAATCTTCAACTGAGTTTGCGGCAAATGCTGCCTCCATTTGAGCAAACCAAACTGTGTAATAATCACTAGTAAAGCGTGGGAACGGTACGTTATCCATATTTTAATTTCCCCAAGAAATAAATTCGTAAATTAAACGCTGATTAACAAATAATACGTGCAGCAACGACCAATTGAAGGCGTAAAAAGAAAGAACATTAAGTTTACCCACCTTACGTGAAATAATCATTTTAAAGAAATAGGAAATGTCAGTAAATGGTCGTACTTTAGTTGAAAAAATCGTAAATTGGCGGGTAAGATTATATTTATAAGGTAAAACATTGATTCTAGCCGGTGATAACTTATAACACCATAGTGCATTTTATGATCAGTAAATATTTAATTATATCGGTATTACCTATATTATCTTTTCATTAAAATAATAACAGCAAATTGATAAAAACCTCAAAAAAATTAAGCTGAATTGATGTGATAAAAAGAAAGAAAAAATAATAAAAACCTAATATAAAAATAAGTGTTTGCAAATTGTCTATGGCATGGCATAAAGACAAAAGTAACGAATAATAAATAACTATCTGTCAACAATGAACATTTAGTGACTACGCCGACGTAAGTAAACGTAGTGTTTACATACTCTTTGGACTACGCTGCCGTTGCTACGTTATAGTTTCACCAAAAAGCAAAAATCACAATGTAGCTTTTCGAACTGATGAGGTACTGGGACTGCATGATTACCAAGGAGGAGACATACTAAACATAATTATAATTATTATAATTAAGCTAGCCGCCAGCCAAAATAAAACCTGTGCGAGACAATGAATAACGGACATTTGACTCCTAACAGTGTTGCGGTACCAGGCTATCATAATACAAAAGAGCACTCTTTGACGTCAAAAATTGTTTACAATCAAACTAACTAGATGTCGCTGCTATCCGTAGTCAAAACAATTTTAGTGTATGTTTTGTTGCACATATTTAAAACTAGAGGTCGCTTTCGTCCACGATGTTAGGTGCCAGGCGCACAGAAGATTCAGTTTGTCTGAAGTAATTTACTCGACAACAGATGGCGCTAAGTTGACATATTATAGCCTAAAAAGTTAAAATTCTCATAATATCCATCTCGGTACTCATAAGCAATGTCATGATACGTTTGTTCTCGTTTTTACACGATATTTACTTGATAATACAACTTAAGAAAATTTATAAATAGCACAAAAATTACAAAAAAGTCGGTAGACCATTTGTGACTACGGGACCACCTTTTTATATGTGAAGTAATTTAGATACTAACACCCGGTTTCTGAAAGGCCGATCAATGTTAAAATCAATTTAATCTCTTATCAAGTCATTTGATTGGTTGACTGAATTATCAACAACCAATAAGATGACTTGACAAGAGATTTGACACCTAGTTAGTTGATTTGAACATTGATCGAACTTTCGGAAACCGGGAATGAGTATTGAGTATCTTAAAACTTAAAATAAGCCTGGATAATATTAAGGATAATATCACATACGTATATACTCGTAGTTACTGTTGCTGGACCTAACAGTTTAACGTAGGTACCTACCTATTCATCCTAGGTTTTTTCTGGAATACGAATAGACAAATTATCTGATGGTAAGCAGTCGGCGCCGCCCATGGGCACTCGCACAACCAAAGGACATGTGCGTTGCCAGCATTTTGTAGGTTGTTAGATTGTTAGATGAGCCTAGGAACTCTTTCATCTCTCAGGTACCGTATCTAGTGTTCGTGTAGCGGTTGTTTATGGACAACTTGGTTTATTTACCATTAGCTAAGCCGTGCACTTCTTTACATCGCTTCGCTGAACATTTAGATTTTTCATTGCAGGAGCACCAAACAAAAATACTTCAAGTAATTAAAACATCTGTTATTTTTCATGTGAGTAATATTTGCACCGTCTGCCCGCGCACCCGCTGGCGCGCGACGTGCTGCGCGTCGCGCTCACAAAAGCGAACATCATTACAAAAATTTTGAGCAAAATTTTAAATCCACTTTACTGCAGAGTTATCCTCCCTAAAAGTCCGGCAACTACTATTACAGGTGACCCTGATCGATCGATTAAATAAAGTGTACTGTGATTATATACTTTACTCGCTTTACGACTTGGGAATCACACACACATTGCCGTAGAAAAAGCAAATTTTTGTTCATCATCATCATTATCATCAGCCTATAAGTGCCCACTGCTGAGCAAAGGCCTCTTCTCATACGATGAAGGTCAGAGGATTAATCACCACGCTTGCTTAATGCGGGTTGGCGATTTCAAAGTCCAGGTTTCCTCACGATGTTTACCTTCATCGTATGTCAGTGGTGTCTAAATAATCATAGAAAGTACATATAAGTCGGAAAAAGTCACATTGGTACTTGCCAGGTTTCGAACCCACACCCTTATGTATGAGATGCGGGCTCCTTTACCTCCGGGCCACCACGACGTTTTCCAAATTTTTGTTATTGTAATAGGTATAAACACAGGAAAAACTCTTGACGACGTTTTTCCTAGTTAACGATTTGAACTTAAATATTGTTTCATCAGAGCTCGAGCGGTACCGTTCAATCATTCGCTTGAGCAGCTCCTTCATTCAGCTCATTTGCACAGGCGAGTCGCGCGGAAAATTATTTCTTTTTCATATTCCCATTTTTTACTTCTTCTAAACTTACAAGTTTTTCAAAACTGGGGAGCTTGGCGATTCGTCTGTTTATTTTTATCCGTCTTACATTTTTTTTCTGAGTTTTTGTTTAGTTCTTAATATTAGAGGATGGATTGTACACGTTTTAGTTGCTTTTCCTTGTTGTTATAAGCGCCGAAAAATTTGCATTTTTTTTTTTAAATTTACCCGGTTTTTATTTATTTGATTCATGAAAATTGATTATTCTAGTTAAGTAGATACAAACATTAAACGTCGTGGTGGCCCGGAGGACGGAGGTTATGAAGCCCACTTCTCATGCATGCAGGTTCGAAACTTGGCAAGTACTTACCAATGTAACTTTTTCTGAGTTAGGTTAGTACTATTACATCACTGTATTATACAACTGATATAAGGTAAGGGCATATGGAGATGTGAAAAAATTCTAAAAAATTTGAATTTGCCAATTCACCTTGAGCAAGCGTTATCAATGCTCAAAACCTTCTCCTAATGAGAGGGCCATGGGCAGTGGGCCCTATATGCTGAAGATGATGATGACGTACAAAACCTATCTACATCCCTCAATATTTCTGATCACAATTAAGTAAATATACGTGGGCTTCAAAAAAAATATAAGTTCAAAACATCTGACCTTGAGATGCACATATAAGAGAAAATATTATTACTTACTCAAAATATACAAAAGAAAACAACATTTAAACAAACCAACAGACGAAGTTGAAGGTACCATCAACTTATTTAATTTAGTAATAATAAAACAGATCCGCAACTTTTATTAAGAAAGTACTAGGGCGACAGAAACAGACATGAGGTATGGAAATTATGTCTCCCCGCGGCAACTTGCTTTCACGGTCCACTGGCCTGATCATAATAAAAACTCGCGCCGTCGCCTTCACACAGAAGTTTGACCATAAATTCCGTGGTCGGTACAGTAATCGTCCAATGCTCGCCGACGGCGAAATTCTTACCGAACGACCCTACAGAAGAAGCATCCAAAATGCGAGAATCACAAAATTCCGACATCATTACCCAATCCAATGCTGGTTGTGTTTAAAATAGAATTTCAACGCCAGATGAATTTGCGCAATGTATTTTGGTAGATGCATTTTTTCAAACCTGCCCTCTATTCCCCGGTTTTAATATAATAATAAATATCACAGGAATACACTACTTTTTGCAAAGTTTTTTTTTCCGCTTTGTTTTCCCCTAGGGTGAGCCAAGACCATTAAAAAGGTTAGGGCGAGCGATATTTTATGCGATTTTAAGTGTGTAACGGTTCTAATGTCCGTTTTATTGCGATGTGAATTATGAAGGCATGGTAACTAGTATCGTTCTGTCTGAAGAAACTTTATAAACGTTTATAAGTGTTGGTTTTATCATTATCTTTAATACCTATTGTCAGACACTAGGTACTTAATGCAGACATTAGACGTCAATCCTCGATACTCATACATGCGACTAAACTTTAATTTAGATACATTAATGTTTCATGCACTCAACAGGCCGTGCCAAATTATAGATATCAGTCTGCAGTTAAGTAGAACAAAAATAGAACAGGGCAGATAGATATTAGCAATCTTATTAAAATATTCGTAATAAAATAACTTCGATAAAATGATTAGGTACTAAGTTATTCTGTACACTTTGAAAAGATCTCGCTGCTCAAAAAAGTAAATATATTTTTTCGTAATTGGGAACTACTTAGGTACTTATTTTAAAACTAAAACTTTAACAACAGTCATGTTATTCACAAAATCATACCTACCTATCCTATAAACCTAAATGTGAGCAATGTTAAAAGTTTTGGGCTTCATTGTTTTACATCCCTAAAATCTGCTTAATCCATCAGATTAGACATTTGAAACACAAGTGGAGGTTGATACCTCTCATTATCCTCAGGGTAGCGGCGAGAGGGTTAACTTTGAAGTATCATTGCCATTTATTAATGGTCAAGTTCAACCCGCCCGCCGCTACGCCCCAAATTATAACTGATTGCTTTAAGTGAATTATTAAATTGATGTCATTTGTTCTCAGATGTTTTAATAACGGGAAGATTGTTCGGGGTATAATAAAAAAGGCATTTTTGCCGTAGCTGTCATTATCCTTGTTTTAATGCCAACTATTGTTTATTATCTTAAGTGTTGGAGAGCCATGCTTCGGCACGAATGGGCCGGCTCGACCGGAGTTATACCACGGCCTAACAGAAAACCGGCGTGTAACAACCACAACGTTGTGTTTCGCTGTGTGAGTGAGGTTACCGGAGGCCCAATCCCTTCCCAATCCCTAAATCCCCAAAATCCCAATCCCTAAAAGGTCGGCAACGCACTCCTTCTTTGTTGTGGGTGTCCATGGGCGACGCTGATTGCTTACCATCAGGTAATCCGTCTGCTCGTTTGCCGTCCTATCACAAAAAAAACTCCTTACTGTTGG